CATTCTCTCTGAAGCATCTGGCACTGGCCACTGTCAGAAGACAGGATACTGGGCTAGATGGACCATTGGTCTGACCCAGCATAACCATTTTTATGTTCTTATACTCTGGAGGGGAGGCAGAGCTGAAGGCAGCTGGTTCTTCCTCTTTCCCTGTCTGTCCTGTTGGAGGGGGTGGGAGACCAAAAGAGGAATATGGTTCAGAGAAGAAAGGAGGCAGACAGGGAACTATACCATTGATCAGCATTATGATTGGTTTAGAATAATAAAACTATTATATATATCACCTGCCGGATCAATTTCAAAAATAAAAATAGGGATTTTTTTAAATAGACTGGTACTTTTTGGAATAAGAATGATATAGTCCTGAAAGCACACATCAGGGGCAGTGAAATTATGGAATTCCTACTTCTGCTTTCAGTAGGAGCAGAAACCCATCCTAGATTTTCCTGAGTTGTGATATGAAGAGCACCAGGATCAATAACATCATCTGCCCTTTCTCTTGCATAAAGCTTTGTGACAGCAAATTTACTCTGGCTGGCTTTTGTCATGACAACAAGTATGCTTACGTCAATGGGGAAGGCCAAGCTCCTTGGTTGGACTATGTGGGTAGCAACTATTTTGACTGTAGGGTGAAAAATGACACAGTAGGCCTGAAGAGTCTTAAACACCATATTGAAACCAGGCGCAAAAATGTTTGTGTGTCAGATTGTATATATTATATAAATGGAGCGTTTTCATACCACAGTGTGAATGGAGACAGTCCCCTCTTGGGTGAAATGCTGGATGGTGTATTCACTGAAACATGTCTTAATGGTCAGGTTAAAATGCAGGATGTGCCCGATCATCAGGAAGGGGTTATGTCCATGTGGCGTGCCCAGAGATGAAAGTAAGCCGTTCTGGTCTGGTAATGCGTACTGGCAAGAGCTGGTACTCCATGCAGGTCCGGGCTGGTGATTTAAAGGACCCGGGGCTCCCCGCAGTGGCCGGAGCCCCGGGCCCTTTAAACAACCGCTGGAGCCCTGGGGTAGCGGCGGCAAGGCTCCGGCGGTGATTTAAATGGCCCAGGGCTCCCAGCCACTGCTACCACAGCGGAGCCCCAGGCCCTTTAAATCTCCACCCGAGCCCCAGGGTAGTGGCTGGGAGCCCCTGGGACTCCGGCGATTTAAAGGGCCCGGAGCTCCACTGCGGTAGCGGTGGCTGGAGCCCCGGGCCCTCTTAAATCGCTCCTGAGCCCCTGGGCTCCCAGCCACCTCTGCAGCTGGTAGCTCCGGGAGTGACTTAAAGGGCCCAGGGCTCCCAGCTCAGGACGCTGGTGTACTGGTAAGTCCTTTAGTTACTTTCACCCCTGGGCGTGCCCCTTTTTACTTTCACTTCTACTATGACTACTATGTGCTGGTAATAACCAGTAGAAGAAGTTACTATAAACAAAGTAGGCGGACATAGTTGTTACGAAATCCCTTTGGCACAAAAAGAAACACAGAGATCTGTCTCCACCCTTGGCAGCTCTGGCTGTGCATATGTGCAGTGAGGATGTATCATTTTGGTGGCTGGCTGTGATTGTGGTGAATGGAGATAGAGAAAGCAACAAGGACTGGAATGTGAAAGTAACTTGGCATATGTAAGAATAAAATATTATGGCATGAGAGTGGGACACATGAAGAGAGCACTTTGACAAACCGTCCTACCAAAGGCTTTGCACTGAGGCATTTAACCAAACCAGGCACAAGGAAGAGGTAACTGAGCTCTTTGTGACTGTGACCAAGAACACCCACTCAGCCACCCAATCATGGTGACTGGCAGCTGTTATGGTGACTAGTGTCAGAAGATAGAATATCAATAAATTGAATTATAGCATGTGATGGACATGTGAAATATTGTGTGAAACAGTGTTCCTCAAAACTCCAGGCCAGAGACGTGGCCCTAAAGCAGGTAAAAAGGAAATTTACAAGGTTCTAAGAATGCCCCCTTCTCTTCACATGCATGTGATGAATGGCTGTGATTGAGTGGTTGGTGCGAGTAGGATATAAAAAGGAACCCACAATCTTGGAAACTCTATCAACCCCTCAGACAGAGACAAACACCTACAAGATCTCTATCAAGCACTCTTACAACTACAATACCCACCTGCTGAAGTGAAGAAACAAATTGACAGAGCCAGAAGAGTACCCAGAAGTCACCTACTACAGGACAGGCCCAACAAAGATAATAACAGAACGCCACTAGCCATCACCTTCAGCCCCCAACTAAAACCTCTCCAACGCATCATCAAGGATCTACAACCTATCCTGAAGGACGACCTGTCACTCTCACAAATCTTGGGAGACAGGCCAGTCCTTGCCTACAGACAGCCCCCCAACCTGAAGCAAATTCTTACCAGCAACCACACAACAGAACCACTAACCCAGGAACCTATCCTTGCAACAAAGCCCGTTGCCAACTGTGTCCACATATCTATTCAGGGGACACCATCATAGGGCCTAATCACATCAGCCACACTATCAGAGGCTCATTTACCTGCACATCTACCAATGTGATATATGCCATCATGTGCCAGCAATGCCCCTTTGCCATGCACATTGGTCAAACTGGACAGTCTCTACGTAAAAGAATAAATGGACACAAATCAGATGTCAAGAATTATAACATTCATAAACCAGTTGGAGAACACTTCAATCTCTCTGGTCACTCGATTACAGACCTAAAGATCGCAATATAACAACAAAAAGACTTCAAAAACAGACTCCAACAAGAGACTGCTGAATTGGAATTAATTTGCAAACTGGATACAATTAACTTAGGCTTGAATAGAGACTGGGAGTGGATGGTTCATTACACAAAGTAAAACTATTTCCCCATGTTTATTCCCCCCCTCCCCCCCCCCCACTGTTCCTCAGACGTTCCTGTTAACTGCTGGAAATGGCCCACCTTGATTAACACTACAAAAGGTTTTCTTCCCCTCCCCCCCCCCCCCCGCTGTCCTGCTGGTAATAGCTCATCTTAAGTGATCACTCTCCTTACAATGTGTATGATAACACCCATTTTTTCATGTTCTGTGTGTATATAAATCTCCTCACTGTATTTTCCACTGAATGCATCCAATGAAGTGAGCTACAGGTCACGAAAGCTTATGCTCAAATAAATTGGTTAGTCTCTAAGGTGCCACTAGTACTCCTTTTCTTCTATCAATTCAGCCACCCAGACAAAGATCTAGCTGCAACCTGTGCAGCTAAAAACTATCCAGAATTACTTGGCATGAATGTGACATGAGAGAACCGAATGTAAAGTCTGCCAAATAACCTATAAAGCTGTCAGGAAGGCACCCAGCTATTTGTAAATCTAAGTTCCACAAATATATACAGACACTCAGATGGATAGATGACAAATATAATACTGTTTCTTTTGCAAAAGAGTACCTGAAAGAATTAAATTATATGTCCTAAAATTCCGTAGACCTGTTTATAAAGCTTTCCTGCTAACATACTCCTGTTCCCTGTATTCCCCCTCCCTGAAGGAATCAAAAGCCAATGATTTCCTCTAGTGGAGCACCTACTTTTAAATATAAGGCCATCCAATCAGAAGCAGAAACCACTCCATGTCATGTGACTTAGATAACCACAAACAGCCAATTATGAGTGGCAGCTAGTTTGTGACCAAAGGCTAACATGCTCACAGAAATGATTCACAGAAGAATTGCAAATAGCAAACTTATAAAAATGAGTCTTGATAAAATTATTCACAAATAGAGAAGAGGCTACATTTGCAGAATGAATTATTCATTGGAACTGCTCGCTGGGCTCTCCAAGATCATAACAACACCCTCCACTATTCCTAAATTCACACAGCAATCGTAGTAGTAGTAAATAAAAATAGTATGATCGTATCCAAAAGCCCAATTAGGGATTGGGTGGGGGCTGGAGGCTGCTCAAACAAGAAAATGAGACATCGCGTAGGCTGTGTAAATGAAAAGGGCCCTCGTGTTCAGAGCTATAAGATGTTCTCCATCCAGCCATCTCCTCTCTTCGCCTGACTATTTTCCGATGTAGGAGAGCTGCTCCTGTCGCTGTGCAATATATTCAGACTAATCAATCTCTGTCTGCAATAGTTAGATAATGAGTGTTCTAGCTTATGACCCTCAAGTACAAATTGCAATAAAGTAATTTGATATCATTTAATTTTCCTTCTAATTGTTACAAATACTCTCTGAATTGTTTGCTTGCTTCCACACAGCAGAACAGAATTTCCAAGAGGAGGGGAGACAGGCTGGTTAGCTTTTTGACACAGATGGGTAAACTCTGCTTTTTCTGAACTGTTCTGATATTAGCACTAGGTTTCTCATCAGTGCGTTGTGGTTTCCCAACAGTGGGACAATGGATGACTTGGATCTTATTATTAACTTGTCTCATAAAGTACCATGTAAAATTAATAAGCAGAGTGAGCGAGAGAGAGTGCATTCAAGTCTTGGGAGAATTAAGAGTATCAGAGAGCATGAACTCAGATATGCGAGATGGGGAGTTAACTGCATACAGGGATTTTCGTAATAATGAGAATGGATTGCTAAAACGCCATGGGGTCAATGGTTCTTATTTTCATCCCATCTACACTGTAACAACTTCCATGATGGCTGATCTGGTTATAAAGCTGTACTCCCCCAACACATTTTAAAAATGGCTTGAACATGCAATATTGATGGGAGCATGTTCCCAAAACAAGTGCTATAACCATGTTCCCAAACCATACTACAGTCCTTCTGAAGCCCAAGATTGGTTAATATTGGGATCATGGTTAAAATGCAGTTCAGTTGCATTTACTCAGCAAAACTGAATTGCCCTTTAATTCCATTGGGGCACTACAAAGTTGCAGCTGGGTCTCTCAAGGTAGTAGTTGTTGAAATCCTCATGCATTTGGATTTTTCGGTCTCTGATGTATTTAATTTTAGGTCGTTGGGGATGCTCTCTTTTCAACTGGTCAAGTCTGCGTTCTCTTCTCTCCTCAGGGCCTTCCCAGCACAGTTCTGTAGACTGGATCTCTTCTCCTTCAGCATGGAAAGCTACAAACTGCCTCCTGAGTTTTGCAGCAATTGGTTGTGGAGCTCTTCTTCCCGCTGAGGAGTAAGGCAGCAGCGTCTTCTGAAACTGAAGTCAATCAAGTTCCAATACTTAGTTGGCAGGAAGTGCTCAATTAGCAAGGAGCAATCAGTTGTTTCTTCCAGAGCCTCAAGAATGTAGCCTCCAGGGGCATAGGTGCTGGAACTACGGGTGCTGGTGATGCGGCCGCACCCACTGGCTTAAAGTGGTTTCTATCATATACAGGGTTTACCGTTTGGTTCAATGGTTGTCAGCACCCCCTCTAAACAAACTGTCCCAACACCCCTGCTCCACAGAAGTGGCTCTCATTTCCAGGCCTAAGGAATGAGAGCTGCAGCTAATGCTAAGCATTCTTAGAAAGGTATGTAAGTGCACTGCTTCAGAGTTAAAATGTAGGAAACATTCTGGTTTAAATTTTGGGTAGGTGCCTATATATACAAAGTGTGACTTCCAGCTAAGATAAACTCATCATGGTACCCAAGACTTTGGAGGGGGAATCTCCCCCTTTAGCTTAGGCTCACCTGGCAGAGTTGCTGCTTGTTAACCATGGGGAACTTGGTTTGATTGTATGCTGTAGAAACATGCAGGATGTACAAATTGCAAACCTAGCCAGAGATGGGGAACTCTGTGAGCTAGGTATGCATTAGTGTCTGGTTGTCACCTGACAGGCACAATTTGATCCTCATGTTCACAGGCACCCCAAAAACTCCATGTTATTTGCATACAAATGGAACATGTGCACATAAGGGACTGCTCACATAAGTTATCCTCCAGTCTCCTTTTGCTGTTCCCCAAAAGGCCATGGTGCTAAGAACACATCCATGTCCACTGGAGGCTCAGCTTTTGTAACACCCTAGATCTGAACAGCCTAAAACTCTGAGGGAATTTGCCTCTGCATCCAGACTTTTTTGGTTGGCCTTTCTTTATAAAAGGCCAAACTGAAAATTCTCAACTGTCAGAAAAGATCAGGTCCAGATTCAAACTTTGCTGCTTGACTGACGTTGAGGCAGGGCCCTTAGGACAGTGAGAGGTAGAAGGCCAGGGATCTGAATTTGGGAATGTAAAAGAGTGTGTTCCAAGGTCCCACGGCAATTTTCACCCAAAGTCTGTCAGCCTCATTGCTGTGCAAAGTGGGAGGTACATGGGAAACAAGAAAATGCCAAGAAGACACCCTTCCATCATGGTCAAGAAAAGGATCAAGTGAAGTAGGTGCCTCTGGGATGTGGGGGACAGAAGTTTGGCAAGAAAAGCACTGTAGGGGAATCTGAAATTTTGGGGACTTGATGAATTAAAACTAAACCCTGTTTTGAAAAAAAGAGTAGAGGCTGGAAATACAAAACATTCTCTACAGATTTGTGACTTTGAGTCTCATGAGGTTTTGTTTATTGTATTCCCACCAGAATGTGTCTTCTACGGTTTTGAAATGACTGTCTTTTCCATTGTGCGTCAGTAAAGAGAATTGGAGGGAGACGTACACGAGCAGCTCCTGTAGTGAATCCACTGCAAAGCACCACAGCCTTTCAGGTAGAGATTTTTGTTTTTCTGCATACTCATCACCATCACTGAAGTTCTCTTTTTCATACATTTAAAAAGAGCTTTACAGTGAACCATGGTTCCAGTCTTTCTGTGCCCCACCTTCTGATCCAAAATTACAACTTCAATATTTGCTGACACGTGGCCTGATCCTGCAAATCTGTTCTCAGGCAAGCAAGTCCTTCCATTAAGGCTGTGCCCTTTCCTCTCAGGTAATGACTTAGCCACTGTGATCTCATGTTTCTGTCACTTCCGGGTTAGAATACTGCAACTCACTCCACCTGGGCATGAGCACAGTTGCACATGGGAGAGGCAACTAATGCTATATGCAGCAGCCTAAGGCGTGGCTTGAGCAAAACGGACTGATGTCAACATATTTCACCAGCACTCCCAGAAACTCCACTGTCTCCCCATTCACTCCTGGACTGAATTCTTGATCCTAATACAAAAAGGCACTTAACAGGTTAGGACCTAGTTACCTCAGAGATTGCCTAATCATCAGCCACACCTCACTGAGATAGCTGCACCCGACGGAGATAACACATCTGGAAAGGGCCAGGACAAAGCAGCACAGGGACAAAGTGACCTCAGTTACAGGCTCAGGTTATGGAACTTCCACCATAGTTGATCAGCCACAGCCCAAATCTCACAATATTCAAACTGAAGTGCCCACCCACCTGCCAAATAACCTCACCCACTGTCACAGCAATCTTCCTCCGGGAAGAGTGAACAAACTGAAGCCATGGGGTGACAAATGAGAGGAAAACACGTGAGAGGTGCCTTAGAAATAGCTACAGTCAAATTGATTGATTGATAGATAGAACTCAGTGGACTACTTGCATAAGTAAGTGTTTCCAGGACTGGGCCCATAAACTTTTGGCGCAGATTCTCTGTCCTGGGTCCCGCCCCTTTACCTGAGTGGCATACTGTGATGGGATCTGGCCACAGCTGCCAGTATGAGAATTTGTCTGCTAAGGGGACTTCTCCAATGGCATAAAGCCACCAGAGCCCACTCCTATGCCAACTGCCCCCACAAAAGCAGTGCTGGGCGTGTATGGGGAGGGAACATTTTCGAATGCTTTGTACTGCTAATCTGTGGATGATGTATATTCTTCTATGGACTATAGCTAGACTTTAGCCAGCCCATAGGCTGTTGTAACTCATGTCAAGGTTGAAGCAGTTTGATGCTTAATTGGCTCCATGTAGAAGTACCCCACCATCCAGTTCTGAGCAGATTTCTGTGCAGGAGAGCCCCTCTGTTTCGTTTTATTGATGTACTTAACTTCTGTTATTCCAGTTACTCTTACCAAAATATATATTTAACACCACAATTTGCGTTCCATTTAACACATGGATACACATAAAGCACCCTCTATAGCGACTCCTGACTGAAGTGTGCAGTTTAGGTGGGACTAACAGAAAGCACATGGTCTGTCCCTCTCATTTTCATGTTTTCTTCCATGATTGTACTCCCTCCAGCCCCTTGTGAGCAAAGGGGTATCATTCTGTCTATTCAGAGTCCTTTTTCAACTCCCTTCTTCCAAGAAACCTACCAGTTTTAACTGACCTAAGTAAGAAATTTACCCATCATAAATAATAATGTTACAAAACCAGCCTTGCACTGATATAAGGCAGAATCTTCCTATGATATTTTGTGTATAATTTTTGTCTGTTCAGATTATAAACTCCTTGTGGCATGGAGAATGTCAAAACATTGCTGGTATATTGGATGCCAGGTAACACTTTTCTGCTGGACACTGCTGGATGTTTTTCATTGATCTGCCTTGCAAAATTCCAGTCAGATGCTGACCTTGAGCAAGAAATACTTTTTGACAGGTGAGCAAAAGGTCGTTAGTTTCTTCGTTCCCATCACCATCATGGAAAAGGTGGGTGTGAAGTAGCTTGCATGCTAGTAGATGTTTGTGAAAAAATTGGAAGGCTGCAGTAATGCTATAATGAAAGCTGGGTATGCAACCATCTAAAAGTTTCAGCCATTTCAAAGGCAGTGACTTGAATACCTTTGTGCTGGATTTGAATTAGGGTCTGAGGATATATGCACATCAGCTATTCTCCCTCTACCAAGGGAGACCAGCCAGCAAACTAAATTTGGAAGATTCACTGTAATTGTATAGAACACAGTTTAGTTATACCAGCTGTAGACTAGGGCCTGCAAGAACAGACAGTCCAAATGCAACAACTGGAGTCACTGGAGATAAATACACATTTTGGGGGTTTTGTTTTCTTTTTTTAAAAGCCAGCAGTGTGTATTATTCATAGTTTGTCATTTGCAGTGTAGGAAACAGGATGCCCTCTGACACCTCTGAAGAAGTTCATGATTTATTGGAAGCATCGAAAGAAATATAAAGCCAAATAGTAATATAGTCCCCCAGGAAAGGCTTGCTTCAGTCTTTTACATAGTATTAGAGCCACTGTAAATAGTTGGACTCAGATAAAAACCCTGGCAAACATTCAATACGGAATGCTTGAGATATGAATGTATTCATTCTTTGATATCAGGAGAGTTCAGTTTTGTCCAGCCTCTAAGTACAAAACCCCCCACAATGTTTATTTAAAATAACTCAAGCTCACAAGACCACGATACAGAGGTGAAACTGCCTCTCAAGCCTCGTTTTGCTGTATGGGTTTCAGGGCAATGAATGTTGTTAGATATTCTGTGGGCTACAGTCACTTGTGACTTGTCTTTGTACTCATTGTCATGGTATGAGAAACCCGGTTAAACAACAGTGATTTCCCAGTGTTCTCAATGGGTATTGTATAAGACCAGCTAGCTAACTCGATAGAATGTAACTATAATCGAGGGAAGTGACGATTCCCCTCTATTCAGCACTGGTGAGGCTACATCTGGAGTATTGCGTCCAATTTTTGGGCCCCCACTACAGAAAGGATGTGGACAAATTGGAGAGAGTCCAGTGTAGGGCAACAAAAATTATCATAGGGCTGGGGCACATGACTTATGAGGAGAGGCTGAGGGAACTGGGCTTGTTTAGTCTGCAGAAGAGAAGAGTGAGGGGGGATTTGATAATAACCTTCAACTACCTAAAGGGGGATTCCAAAGAGGATGGAGCTCGGCTGTTCTCGGTGGTGACAGATGACAGAACAAGAAGCAATGGTCTCAAGTTGCAGTTGGGGAGGTCTAGGTTGGCTATTAGGAAACACTGTTTCACTAGGAGGGTGGTGAAGCACTGGAATGCGTTACCTAGGGAGGTGGTGGAATCTCCATCCTTAGAGGTTTTTAAGGCCCAGCTGGGACACGATGGCATATATCACATTGGTAGATGTGCAGGTGAAAGAGCCTCTGATAGTGTGGCTGATGTGATTAGGCCCTATGATGGTGTCCCCTGAATAGATATGTGGACACAGTTGGCAACGGGCTTTGTTGTAAGGATAGGTTCCTTGGTTAGTGTTTTTGTTGTGCGGCTGCTGGTGAGTATTTGCTTCAGGTTGGGGGGCTGTCTGTAAGCAAGGACTGGCCTGTCTCCCAAGATCTGAGAGAGTGATGGGTCCTCTTCAGGATAGGTTGTAGATCCTTGATGATGCACTGGAGAGGTTTTAGTTGGGGGGGCTGAAGGTGATGGCTAGTGGCGTTCTGTTATTTTCTTTGTTGGGCCTGTCCTGTAGTAGGTGACTTCTGGGTACTCTTCTGGCTCTGTCCATCTGTTTCTTCACTTCAGCAGGTGGGTACTGTAGTTGTAAGAATGCTTGATAGAGATCTTGTAGGTGTTTCTCTCTGTCTGAGGGGTTGGAGCAAATGCGGTTGTATCTTAGAGCTTGGCTGTAGACAATGGATCGTGTGGTGTGGTCTGGATGAAAGCTGGAAGCATGTAGGTAAGTACAGCAGTCAGTAGGTTTCCGGTATAGGGTGGTGTTTATGTGACCATTGCTTATTAGCACTGTAGTGTCCAGGAAGTGGATCTCTTGTGTGGACTGGTCCAGGCTGAGGTTGATGGTGGGATGGAAATTGTTGAAATCATGGTGGAATTCCTCAAGGGCTTCTTTTCCATGGGTTCAGATGATGAAGATGTCATCAGTGTAGCGCAAGTAGAGTAGGGGCATTAGGGGATGAGAGCTGAGGAAGTGTTGTTCTAAGTCAGCCATAAAAATGTTGGCATACTGTGGGGTCATGCGGGTACCCATAGCAGTGCCGCTGATTTGAAGGTATTCATTGTCCCCAAATGTGAAATAGTTATGGGTGAGGACAAAGTCACAAAGTTCAGCCACCAGGTTTGCTGTGACATTATCGGGGATACTGTTCCTGACGGCTTGTAGCAAACAGGGAAAGATTAAGAATGAGCTCTCAAAACTAGATACTCTCATAAAAAAACAATCCTCCACACAGACTTCCTCGTGGCTGGACAAGCCATTTACAACACATACTGAAAGATTCTTGTTTTAATGAATGACATCCCTACATCCGTTTTTGCCCATACTTGTTCTTACACAACCAGGCATGTATACTCATACGTTTATTCCTGACACTGCACTGCAGGTGAGCTAGCTTGCTTTATAGTCAGCCCTTGTATGTCATTGCAGGATGGATGGAAGCAGAAAAGGCTGAAGCTGAAGACCAAACAAGAGAAGAGATTTGCTTGTCATGGAGTCCCACCACAAGATAGAGCCTGTCACTGATGTACATGTTTGGTGGACACAGTCACTTACATGAGGCTGGAGGGTTGGCTTATGGTTGTTCTTTATGTAAGTTATCCAAGGATCATCTTCATATTTTGTCTTTTAGCCAATGTGTTTCACTAAATCATCACAAAGTGCCTCTGCCAAGGAAATAATCAGCAGTACATGAACGCAGCAGTCCAGACTTCACGCAGATTTAGCAGGGGAAGTTGGTGAGCTACCAGTATGAATATTAGTTAGCTTAATGATTCATGTGTCGTCAAAGTTCACATTGCAAAACACATGGAAATATCACTGTAAGCAGTATTTGAAGACAAGGGAACAAGAACCACATGTTAGTGTTACCTAGCCCAATGCAGTTTAAAAAGACTCTGTTAAACAGAGCTGTGTAAAACTCAGCCATTATGATTTGAAGTGGAGCACAGTCCCACTGTAGTTCACATGCAGGCAGACTTTTAGAAGTGTTCACTTATTTTGTGTGCTGGGAGGGGATCAGCTGGGCCATTAATGATATTGGATCTTAAAAATCATATAGTTTGTATCACTTTCTAGCTTCCTTTTTCTGTCTGTTCTGACATGATTTTTGTGGCCAATCTCAAGAACCACTGGAGATAGAAATGTATGCTATATGCCATTTGAACACAAGGGGTCCAAGTTCTGAGGTGGATATGGCACTGAATTCATGCTCTAATGGCTTGGAAGGCAGAGAACATTGAAATCACTGGCCATTTAGAGAGTTCAAACTCAGCTTGGAAACAGCGCTCAAAGCTTAGAGCAGACACAGCTGAAGATTCACAAATGCCTAGTGAGCTTTCCCTAATCGTGCTGGCGGCAGAAACATCTGTTTTTCAGGATCTGTTCAGCTGACTGATCCATATATTTGATGGAACAGTTCCCTTTCATCTGTGGCCATTTAAATCCCTGGGACCCTGCACATGTACCTCCACCAGTGGAATTCCTTCTCCTGAGGGTATACCATAATGGTTTGGCTGATTTCTTCTAGTCTCATTTTCACTGGTGATTTTTGAAATACATATGTCTACTCTGAGAGGACTGAGATGACATTCATCTGCATTCCTTTGCACGTTGCATTTAGACGATCTCTTTCATGATATATAAATGTATATTCCCCATTATGATATCTGATTAGTCAAGATATCTTCATTATGTACTGCTGTCAGCTAGGCAAGTCTTTATCTTCATGCTAAATGAATTAATGTTCCTGGATACCCTACAGCTTCCTTTTTCTTGACCAACTGTTTTTTCTACAGATGATTTGAAAGAGTAAGAAATTTCTATGCAGTTGCATACAACTTCCACTCATCCTAGGCTCTTAGAGTGCTGTCTGCCATGTACATTTTCTTTCCATGTATGTATACTATAGATTTCTGGAATAGAAGGGCACTAGGAGTGCTCTGTGTACTATGTAACTAGATACATAGATGGAATGTAAAACCGGCATCAAAGCACTCCCTGATCTCATCGAAATAAACATTTACAGCTTTTCTGACCTTTTCCTGTGGATCATGTCTTGCCCTTCGTCAGGTTCAATATGATTTAAAATTTAGAGCAACACTCCCTTTAGGCTGTTACATTAAAGTCCAGATGAGAGCAAATGTTCAAGCTGAATCTGAAATTTTCCACCAATTTTCAAATTCATAACCTGCAGTCAATCACAAGAAGGCTGGCTGCACATACCTATTCACTGATCCCAAACAGGGACTCTTTGTACGGAATGGCAGGAAGATGATGTAATATTTTCCCTTGCTGCATTTGAACTAAAGATGATTTACTAACATAGCAAATGTCTAGAGAACCTGGATTTGGTTCATTTTTGTTTTTGTCTTCAGTTTGCAGGCTATTTTCTTATTTGCACTACTAACATGTTGGCAGGAACTAGAATAAAAAAAATTCTGTTGCCGAGACTTTATACTTGATGTACAACATCAGAAATTCTGTTGCTGCTTTAGCCTGCACTTTAGGGCCAAAGATTCAGATTATGTTCTGAACATGATGATGTGTCCTGAATCTCTTAACTGGCTTGATACAAACAGAACTTTTGGAAACCTGCTCTGATTTTGGTTGCAAAGGTAGAACCTTCTGCACAATTTAAAACATGATGTGTGTGAGTGGAGGTACATGCAAGTGCAAGCATGGGCAAGTGGGACTATAAGGAACTGACTGGGCCACTCTTTCGCCCTCCTGATTCTAGGCTGTCCTAGGGGCTGGTGAGGCCTCCAGAGTAGCTTATGTCAACTGGGCAGCCTGAGTTAGGTCAACCCATCCTTTGCTGCCCAGAATCTTCACAGTGCTACATACTAGGGCCCCACCCGCAACATGTCTCTCCTGCTCCCAGCATGCCACTACACTGTGCATAACTGGTTGGAAATCCATTCCCAGAGAGTAGTTATCAGTGATTCACAGTCAAGGACATATCGAGTGGGGTCCTACAGGGATCAGTTCTGTTTCTGTTCAATATCTTCATCAGTGATTTAGCTAATAGCATAGAAAGTACACTTATGAAGTTTGCAGATGATGCCAAGATGGGAGGAGTTGCAAGTGCTTTGGAGGATAGGATAAAAATTCAAACTGATCTGGACAAACTGGAGAAATGGTCTGAAGTAAATAGGATGAAATTCAATAAGGACCAAATGCAAAGTGTTCCTTCCTAAGTTGAGTAATCAGTTGCACGCATACAAAATGGGAAATGACTGCCTAGGAAGGAGTACTGAGGATCTGGGACTCATAGTGGACCACAAGCTAAATATGAGTCAATGGTTGCAATGGCTGTTGCAAAAAAAAAAAAGAAAAAAAACAAGCATCATTCTGGGATGTATCAGCAGAAGTGTTGTAAGCAAGACATGAGAAGTAATTCTGCTCCACTCCACTCTGATTAGGCCTCAAATAGAGTATTGTGTCCAATTCTGGGTGCCACATTTCAGGAAAGATGTGGACAAATTGGAGAAAGTCCAGAGAAGAGCCACCAAAATGATTAAAGGTCTAGAACAGTGGTTTTCAATCAGGGGTCCAGGGCCCACTGGGGAGGCCGTGAGCCGGTTTCAGGGGGTCCGCCATGCAGGGACAGCATTAGACTTGCTGAGGCCTAGGGCAGAAAGTCAAAGCCCCACCGCATTGGGCTGAAGCCTACGGCTCCAAGCCCCGCCACCTGGGGCTGAAGATGAACCCTGAGCAACTTAGCTTTGTGGGGCCCCTGTGGCATGAGGCCCCAGGCAAATGCCCCTGCTTCCTACCCCCTAATGCCGGCTCTGGCTTTTATATGCAGAAAAACAGTTGTTGTGGCATGGGTGGGCTGTGGAGTTTTTACGGCATGTTGGGGGAAGGGGGTCAGAAAGAAAAAGGTTGAGAGAACCCTTGGTCTAGAAAACATGACCTATGAGGGAAGATTGAAAAAATCAGGTTTTTTTTAGTGTGGAGAAGACTGAGTGGGGACATAACTTTTCAAGTACATAAAAGATTGTTACAAGGAGAAGGGAGAAAAAAATGTACTCTTTAACCTCTGAAGATAGGACAAGAAGCAATGGGCTTAAATTGCAACAAGGGCAGTTTAGGTTGGATTTAGGAAAAACTTCCTATCTGTTAGAGTAGTCAAGCACTGGAATAAATTGCCTAGTGAGGTTGTGGAATCTCTGTCATTGGAGATTTTTAAGAGCAGGTTAGACAAAGGTCTGTTAAGGATGGTCTAGATAATACTTAGTCCTGCTTTGCGTGCAGGAAACTGGACTAGAAGACCACTCGAGGTCCCTTCCAGTCCTACAAATTCTATGAAGGGTCCTGCAGATGGCCACCTTGCCAGCTTTACACTATCTTTATAGGGCAATTCTCTCCTGGCCTGCTAAGGGGCTTTTCTGGTCTCTTTATGCTTCTGCAGCAGCATACGGGACTGGGCTGGGGAAAAGAATCTCTCCCCTTAGATGTAGTCATTTCGTAAGTGTTTTCCAAGAAGTGCTGGATCTGTCATTGCCCAGTGATGGGATTTCTTGAGTTCACAATAAAATTATATAGCCTTGACAGCTATAATGCATCTTCACTAGCAAATAGCCAGCTTCATACCTATCTCTAGCTTCTTTATTTTTTGGCTGAATCTGTGAACCAGTTAATTTTAAGCCTTAAAAGATTTGCTGTATTCCTAAGGTCACATCCAAGCATGAGGAGTGCTGGGGTACATCTTGTACTTGTGTTCGCTGCTGGCATATAGCACTTTTTTAGCATCTGTTATAACATTATTTTCTTGGTTTTTTACTAATCACATTTTTAATAGTCACTTCAGAAACTTGAATACAGCTGAGCATCAGCCCCGAAAAGAGGAAAAATGAGGATGCTCAGAAGTGGCAGGACAAGAAATGCAGAAAGAGGAGGCACTTGGGTTCTCAAAACAGCAATGTTACTCAGATATATAAGAACATAAGCACATAAGAACAGCCAAACTGGATCAGACCAAAGGTCCATCTAGCCCAGCATCCTGTCTTCCGACCGTTGGATGACACAACCCAGATGGATGACACAACTCAAAATCCTGGCCTTGAACAGTCCCAAACTTAGTGGGGTTTGAAATCTGGATGTGGATTTTGCAACAGTGGGGTTTGAAATCTGGATGTGGATTTTGCAACAGGGAGCCTTCTCTGATTTCACTGGAACAACACCCCATTCAGTTTCCTGACAACCGCACTGACTCACTGCACTGATGCCTTACATTTCCTGCACTGCAGTTCTTGCAATGCCTGTGCTCTTCAAGCGTCCTCATTCTCTTTTCCTGTCTCTTCCCCCAAGGTTCGAACTCCCCACCACTCACCTGTAAACAATATAACATTTTTCCTTGCATTGGATGCTGTACTTGTGAGTGCTCATTCTAGATGACCATGTATATTAATGGATTTCCCCACTTGTAAGTGGTTAGAAATCTCTAGGTAGAATCTGAATTTGATTCACAGGCACTTTGTCTGAAAGTGTAAAGCTAACTAGCAATTTAGCAATAACTCCTGCTAAAACTGGGTAACTTTTTAAACCTTATCAGTGTCATGTGACAATGAA